GCGGGGCGTACATAATTAAAGCTTGTCAGCTCATCCTACCTTTGACGAAGTAAGTTTTTCCATTTCCTCCCCACACAAAGGCGGCGTCCACGTTGCTAGGGATACCCTTGAAGCCTTCCTCGATGCTCCTCACGTAGATCAGGTTGAAGTTGTAAAACTTCCAATAGTAGTCTCCCTGCGCATGGAAATGGGACATAATTTGTGAAAATTGTGAAATGGTATGGGTTTAACGCCCCTATCAACAGTATTGGGTTATTTAAGAGGCGGGACATAATTTGTCTTGAAAAAGTTTAGTCATGCAAGGATATCAAGTTTTTGTTCTTTGAAAGAACCTTTCTTAAGTCAAGTACGGTACCTCAAAACATCAGCAACAAAAACAACAAACATCAACACCGACAACGACACCGGCAATAACGACGACAACAACAACAACAACAACAACTGCAACAACATTATCACAACAACAGCAACAACAACAACAGCAACCACAACAACAACAACAACAGCAACAACAACAACAACAACAACAACAACAACAACCGCACCAACAGTAGTAACAACAACAACAACAACAACAACAACAACAACAAAAACATAAAAAATAACAACAACAAAGACACCAACAACAACAATAACGAAAACGACAAAGACAACAACAACGGCGAAAAACCGTGGCAACGACATCGACAACAACAGTGACCAGCGCCGTAAAACCTCTACTAAAACTTAACACCCCCCCCCCTCCCCGCAAACCGTCATCCAGGGTAACTTGAAAATATATTTAAAAAAACCGTCATCCAGCGTACCTAGAAGATGTAAAAAAAAAATCCAACATCCAGCGTACCTTGAAGATGTAAAAAAACAACAAAATCCAGCGTACCTTGAAGATGTAAAAAAACCCCCCAAAATCCAGCGTACCTTGAAGATGTAAAAAAACCCCAATCCAGCGTACCTTCAAGATGTCAAAAACTCAAAAAAAAAATCCAGCGTACCTTGAAGATGTAAGTGTAGCCGTTGTCCCAGTGCAGAGCGCTGTCTACAGGCCCGGTGACCCCTCTCCAGTCAGCTGCGATGTCCCGTGGGTAGCCCGAGGCTATACCGTAGTTGCTCAACTTGTAGTAGTCTTTGCCTGCCGGACAGATGAGGATGATGATGATGATGATGATGATGATGATGATGATGATAATGATAATGTTGATAATAATAATGATAATAATAATAATAATAATAATAATAGTAATAATAATAATAATAATAATAATAATGATAATCAATATTATTATTCATAATGATAGTAATAAGTCAGTATAATAAGAGTAATAATGCTTTGATAGATAGATAGATAGATAGATAGATAGATAGATAGATAGATAGATAGATAGATAGATAGATAGATGCTTTAAAGGAAAGAAGGACAAAACCCTACAAGAGCACCCGCCAGCCACCCACTTCACCCAACTAAAAGACAGGACTCATAGATACTTCGGTTTCAAAGATACTCAAAAGTATCTATTGATACTTCAGCTGTTTGTTTTGTTGTACCTTGTTTCTATTGTGCATGCCGGCGTGTAGTTTTGGAGAGTTTTTAGTTTAGCTTTAGCAAGTGTTTTACGGCACTTGCAACACAATAAAGTCATATATGTGCAGAAGATTAGAGGTGTTGCAAGAGAGTAACAAACACAAAATAGAAGGAGGGGAGATAAAGACGATAGATGTTTGATAGGAAAGAAGGAGCAAACCATACCAGAGCACCCGCCAACCACCCACGTTTTAGAGAGTAAAGCATCCCTTGAGCGTAAAACTGCTCTTCGGATTTTTTTCATCTTCCCAGTTTTTGTGATCGCCGCGATTATGCTACACACACTTTCCGTAAAAAGTGACTATAGTCATCCCTCCCCCCTCCCCGCCTCCGGCCTTCAAATTATGTAAAATAAAGTGGGCATGTGATATTTGAGGTTGAAGGGGGGGGGGGGCATGCACCAAATTTTCCTTTTGGGATCTCCTGTCTGTACGGAAGGCATAACATTTTCCCGAATGGTGGTCCTGGTGAAAGAACTTAAAAGAGAAAAACAAGAAAAACAAACCCCCTAACAACTTAACCTCCCCCCCCATCCCTCCCCTCATCCCGTCGTCCACCAAAATTTACGTAAAGAAAAGACATCAGTTTAAAAAAAAAAAGCAACAACAAAAAAGCAACAACAACAACAACAACAACAACAACAACAACAACAACAACAACAAAACAGAAAAGAAAAAAAAAGAAGAAAGGAAAGGAAGAAACGAATAGAGACAAAACAGCCGGACAAAAACTACCCCCGAACCCCGGAGGTCGTTGAAACTCTATTCCCCTGTTGCTTATCTCGGCCAACACAGTCCAATCCGGAGATGAAAGATGGACGGTATTTTGATTCCAGTTGTTTTTCAGCTTTTGAGAATCCTTGTCGAAGTTCAGTCATCTTCATTTCTACACAACGTGGTGGGTGTTTGAAATACGAGCAATCTGATTCATCAATAAATCAAGGATCAAAGGAGTGGATGTGCGCTTATATTTCTGTATGCACGTGTGCGAAAGCTGTATAGACAGACACTGCGTGTGCTTTTGAAAGCGAGTAGTTGCGAGAGTGTGAATCTGTATGTCTATGTAGAATTTTTTTTTGTATATTCTCTCTCTCTCTCTCTCTCTCTCTCTCTCTCTCTCTCTCTCTCTCTCTCTCTCTCTCCCCCCCCCTCTCTCTCTCTCTCTCTCTCTCTCTCTCTCTTTCTTCCTTATCTTTCTCGGTGTTTATAGCTTTGTGACATACACAGTTTTACAAGCATAAATACGTACACTCACTCACTCACTCATTCACCCACCCCCCCACACTTCAACACCCAAGTACACACATAAATATTGATAGATGGATAGATAGATAGATAGATAGATATATAGAGAGATAGATAGATAGACAGACAGATGGATAGATAGATAGATAGATAGATAGATAGATAGATAGATAGATAGATAGATAGATAGACGGACGTACTCACCTTTAAATATGTAGGTATAACCATCTGAGCTCATGGTGACTGCGTCCACTTTGGAGTCCAGGCAGATCTTGGGCACACTGAGCACTGGACCTCTGGTGGGAGGGGGTGGGGCGGGCTTGCGGGGGTACCCACGATCTCTTTTGCCTGGCGAACCTAAATAAACCAATTAAATAAATAAATAATTATATCTATATACCGCATTTCCACTAAGAAGTGCTCAATGCGCTGTACAATAATACAAAGAACATATTATGCAGCGCACAGCTCCTATAGTAATCCTCTTTCTCTCCCCCCCCCCTCTCTCTCTCTCTCACTCTGTCTCTGTCTCCCTAGAGAGAGAGAGAGAGAGAGAGAGAGAGAGAGAGAGAGAGAGAGAGAGAGAGAGAGAGAGAGAGAGAGAGAGAGAGAGAGAGAGAGGTTGGTGTAAGGGGGGGGGGGGTAATGAGAAAGACAGTTTAATGCAGGTGGTTTTACACCCTCATTGACGACACCATTAAAATTTAGATAATTAAGGAGGCAGGTTCCGACCTTGCTTGTCAGGGTCAACCTGAGCTGAGAAAGATGCGGCTTCCCAGCAGAAAGACCAATATATTCGACTAGATGGGCGCCCTTTCGATGAAAGGAATAATCGGTGCGTTAACATCAACTGAAAGTCATTGGCCTACTATATTTACACTCTACTGAAATGGAGCAGTAAATCATGAGAGAAAAGTGACAAATGTGTTTCAAAGTTGCTAAATATATAATAGATGTATAGATTGGTTCTCTATTCCGCTTTCGTGGTTGTACACTCCAGAATTTCAGAGGTGTGGAACCAGTGCGCACGGCTATGAATGGAAACCTCACTTGTTTACAATGGCGTCTTAGAAGACGGACTTTCCCAAGATTAGATCTAAACGAAACCAATGAAAAACGGAAAATTAAGCTACAGTGACTTCAGGCTTCTCAATAAAACTGTGCACCCTTTAAGTGATTCCGAACCTCCGTTAATTTTTTTATCAAATTCGAAAGTTAAGTGGTTCGGAAGTTTTAATCGGCCAAAGTGACGGACTTTCACTAAGATAATATAATATAGAGATAAAAAGATTTTCTCCTCGGAAACGAGCTCGGGTCTCCTGCGAGCGACAGTCAAGCGCCTAACCGCTACGGCACAGACGCAGGTAAAGTCTGTTTACATCTTGGTATTATGTGGTGAAATGTTGTATATTGTACGGTGCATGTGTGGTGCGGTATTGTATATAACTGTGTCATGTTCGGTAGGATGTGGAGGGAATTGCGTTGTGCTCTCTCTCTCTCTCTCTCTCTCTCTCTCTCTCTCTCTCTCTCTCTCTCTCTCTCTCTCTCTCTCTCTCTCTCTCTCTCTCTCTCGTCCGGAGCAAGCCTGTAGGGGAGAGGGTGAGCAGTAAGTGTAGAGGCAAAGGTCGTTTGGTGCGATGTGGACGAGTATAGTGTGGCGTAGGATAAGTATAATATTTATATGCGCGTGTGGTACAATAAGGTATATACTGGTACTAGTGTGGTGGCGAAGCGGTTAGTGCGCTCGTCTCGGAAGCGGAAAGTCTGGGTTCGAACCTCGGTTCGGACACGGATTTTTTTCGGCCCCTCCTGCTAATCCAGCAGTAATGGGTACCCGACTTCGAGTTGGGGAAGTAAAGGCGGCGTGGAAAGGAACTGGACACACTACCACAATATGCCGAAGGCCCAGGAAGTTGTCTCACTAACAAGGCAATCCCCAATGTCCGGATCGGAGGCGGGAACAACTTTACTTTTTAGTGTGGTGTGGTGTGGTGTGGTGTGATATAGGACAGCAGGCGTGAGATTTAAAATGGTCTCATAAGGTTTGCTATACGTCGTCGTTACACACAAACAAGCACGTACACTGACAAACACACATGCTAACAAAAACACATCTATCCACACACCCACAAACACCCACGCACACATACACACAAATTCACAAACACAAACAATCACACACATACACACACACACAAAACCACACGCACACTCACGCAGGCACACACATACACACATACACACATACACACACACACACACACACACACACACACACACACACACACACACACACACACTTACAACCAAGATCAACCTCTTAAAAAAAAGGTGAGAGGCTCAGTGAGTTACCCAAAATGTCATGGAGTTCTGAGGTTTGGCCTTGACCCCCAGTGTGTGCTCGTCACGCTTCGGAGGTTTCAAAATTAATGTCTGTGGCGAGAATTTACGAGGTTCAGTGCGGTAACAGAGAGCTACAGCTTGTCGGAACGTAGTCTGTGCGGAGCTACAGAAGGAGGGCAACGCTGAGATTGTTTGGCTACCTCGCCATTAAGAGCCTTGGTGGTGTGAAGGAGGTCTACTAGCTGTCCCCGGGGTTTTATGCACCCCGCGTATTTTAGCAAAATTTGATATTTTTTTGGGTGCACATTTTCTGTTCATTTTCATTTTTCCTTCTTTGTTAAGATTAACAGATTCACATTTTTTGGGCTCAGTTTGCATAATTTCAGATTTTTGTGTGTGCATAAAACTGCGGGGACAGGTCTGCAAATCGCTACCTTAGAATTACGAAGTTTTATTTGCTCAGTATCTAGCTTTGAGAAATTTGACGTTAAAAAATGTTTGAGTTTCACAATATTTCAAGCTTTTTAAAAAATGATAACGACTCCGAATAATCTTACGATTTTGATAGAGCAGACTTTTAGAACATTTTGTTTTGGATCTCATGGTCTTAATAACTCAAAACGGCCAAAAACATCAGATAGAACGTTGTAATTCTGAGGTAGTGAAATGTAAGGGGCGCTGACGAAACGAGGTACTGCTTAGATTTGATCCCTGTGTAACATTGATACGTCAAAGTTGGTCGCTTTTAAGGTGTGTGTGTGTGTGTGTGTGTGTGTGTGTGTATGTGTGTGTGTGTGTGTGTGTGTGTGTGTGTGTGTGTGTGTGTGTGTGTGTGTGTGTGTGTGTGTGTGTGTGTGTGTGTAAGCCTATTCTAGAATGCAATCGTACAAATTTAACATCCAATTCAACAAAGTATAATAACATGTACAGTCGTGTCAACAGGCCTACACATTCCCGTTTTATCCCTTGAGAAGAGCGTGGCTAGTGGCCACTTTTTTCCGTTGTTGAAAAAAAAAAAAAAGGTTTCGCAACATTCGACCTACCATACAGTTCCTGTATAGCGTTGACGTCATCCTGGTCCAGCTTGAAGTGTCTCTGGTAGCCTCGGTAAAAGGGAGCCATCAAGGCCGTGCCTACATCACTGTGGGAGAGTCCCAGGGAGTGACCGAACTCATGAGCCGCGACCTGGAACATGTTGATGCCTGAGGGAGAGGGGAGGGGAATGACATATAGACAGATGGATGGATGGATGGAGGGATTGATGGGTGGGTGAGTAGGTGGGTGGATGGATGGATGGATGGTTGGATGGATGGATGGATGGATGGATGGATGGATGGATGGATGGATGGATGGATGGATGGATGGATGGGTGGGTAAATGGATGGATGGATGGATGGGTGGATGAATGGACAGATAGATGGATAGATAACACGCACCCACACATACACATATTCATAAACAAACACTCACACACACACACAACATAACATATATACACGGAAAAAGGCCTTGTTTAATCGTGGTTATGATGATCTATCTATCTATCTATCTATCTATCTATCTATCTATCTATCTATCTATCTATCTATGTATGTGTACAGATGTACAGAGAAAGGATGTGCGTGTAGGGAACGACGAAGTTCCTTGCTACTCACAGAGCGAGATAATAGGCTCCAGACTTTCAAAGCAGCCATTTAATTTTGAAATCAAATGAAAACATGCATTTTTAACAAGCGTTATTAACTCCACAAGCTGATACAGAGAGTAATTACGAACATATGCGAAGTGTGCTGACAAAATGAGTTGCTTATCGGATTCAAGCCTTATTGAAATAGATACATCACGCTTATAGGTGAAGTTTTTACAGTTAGAAGTAAGAAATAACAAAAAGCATGTTATACTTAAAGAATATGGCATCAAAAGAAAATCTACAAATTTGTCCCTAGTGTCGATTTTTGGCCAATATCTCCATTTGTGGATAGCCAGAAGTAACTCATTTTGTCATCACGTCTCACATATGAAACAATACCATTTTAAAAACATCGTTTTTAATATTGTACTTTTTGCGGATACGCTTAGGTAGATGTAGATTCTAATGCTGGTATCTCATATGCGTTTGGCTAATTTATAATATTTCTTAAAAAATGAGAATAAAATCAGAATCCCGAGAGAGCAAACACGTGACCGGAAACAGTTAGATTTGCTGACGTTAGAGCGGAACCCAAAATTAGAATAATTTTGTCATAAGTAGATTCAAACATGCGTGCGCAGCAAATCATTTTAAAGTCTGAAGAAAATATTAATTTCTTTTTAAAAAATGTAATGCTTTTGTGATTTTTCTTAACTTTCCACCGCACAAGGCAAAATTGTTTTTGCAACGTTTCATAATTTCAGGAAAGTAATGTAAAGCTTAACCCAAAAAGTGATGACACAGAATCTATATTTAATCCCAAAAGTTCTCAAAAAGGTCAGACAAACTTTTGATAAACTGACATGGACCTATTAATTTATTCTCATAAATTAACTTTCTTAAGATCGTGATGGGTTTTTACACTCTGGTATGTGAAGTAAGTCGGCCAATGCCCTATTTAGTGGGTAACAACACCGAAGAATGTTAATTTTAATCTGTCATGCTAAAATGCTGTCAACTTCAAACAGAGCATGTTTACATGTATTATAATACAGACAGGGGAAACGAGGGGGCCGTCTAGAATGGAGGGATCTTAACTAATGACTTTGTTGTTGTTGTTGCTCTTGTTGTTGATGACGATAATGATGATGTTGACGTTACTACTGTTGTTGTTAGTGATTCTGCTGGTGTTTTAGCTTGTTGATGATGTAGATTTCTGATGCTGCTGTTGTTGTTGGTGGTGATGTAGTTGCTGCTGCTTTTGTTGTTGTTGTTATTATTATTATTGTTCTTGTTGATGTTATTGTTGTTATTGTTTTCATGTTGTTGTTGCCGATGAAGTTTTTAATATTGCTGTTGAGGATCCTGTTGCTGTTTTGTGAACATCAGACAAACAGTAAACAGCAGATAGTTTCCAAGAAAGACGAGACCTGTAAGAACATCACACGGATTTGAACCCCTCTCAAATTCAATACCAAACTACAATGCGCTCAAAGATGACATGGACGCGAGCGGTACATGCGGAAATGGAAAAGGCGGGGACATCATGGAAACAGCTAGAAAAAGATGCACAGTACAGGCTTCGCTGGAGAAAATGTTGTTGATGGCCTATGCTCCACTGGGAGTTAAAAAGGCAAGAGAGAGACAGTGCACTTGCCTTTTAGTACAATATAGTCAGCTTCCGTCACCTATCTGAAAACCGGCGTCTGTAGTTTAGCAGTTAGGAGCGGTTGGTTGGAGGGAGCCACTGATATGTCTTACTTCTTTACTTTCCCTGTGTTGTGTCTGTCTTTTTTTTTTTTTTATTGTAGAGGGTTTTATGGCGCTCGCAACTGCATAAGGTCATAGGATCGCCAAGGGGTGGGTGTCGACAGAGAAGTCTTTACAAGGAATCAGACTTACTCTGCTCACCTCTCTAGCTTCAACAGCACAAGGTCTGCTTCGACTATCAAGGCACCCCAGAAATAGCAGGTCACAAGAGAATGACAAACATACACAAGAAGTAGAGGAAAATGACGATAGTAAGGATTAGGAAAGTAAAAGCAGCAGTTCCCTGTTGTAGATAAGGCACAGTTATGAGCGTGACATGAATCAGCCCATTTACAATTCTACTGTGCTTGAACGAGAAATGACCCCCCATTTGGGAATGGCCTAAAGACACTACTGTCAGTGGCACTGCCCCGGGGGGGGGGGGGGGGGGGGGGGGG